CTGCACCTTCATTTACACCTTCATTTCTGAAACCAATTTGGCTACTACTAATTATTGGAAACATACCCCCGAACCCCAATAATGTTTGTGCATTATTTTCATTAAATCCCATACTAGTTGGCTAGTTTTGCTCAGGCATCTGTGTCACTGCACATATTAAAAGATTTACATTGTATTGCAACTTTATGTATTACAGCCTGTTTATTTTTTTTTTTAAACCCTTTTTGGGCTTTTTGTGCCTATAATGGAGAGTCCGCTTGGAAGACCATAGCCTCCATACATGGGGTGCGAGCACTAACCATTGCGCCACCAGTGTTCCTTCAGCTCTGCCCAGCGATCATCGGGGACGCCCCAATTTATTATTATATTTGTGACTATATATATTATATATATAACAATATAATCATGAGAGACAAGGGAGAACTGTAGTCATGGCGACCAGCGGCAGGACGCAACCCATTTAAAACTTGTTTCCAGCTCACCGCGAGCCCTTTATTGACAAGCTTCTGAGTGTTGTGATTTCAGTCATCAGCTTGTCAATAGAAAACATCACATCTGTTCGTCCACCTTCAACGCAAAAGCACTAGACGTCATATCATCTGCGTCTAATTCGCAGAGCTAGATATTTAAAAGATGCAGTGTGGACAGCCAGTGTGCCATCATGTGCAATGCGACATAATATCTAACGCTTGCATGCTGTTCGGACACGGTGTTACAAGTTTGTATTTCAGTATTTCAGTATTCAAAGTTTCATTCCATATATTCAAAGTTTCATTCAATATATTCAAAGTTTTATTAAATATATTCAAAGTTTAATTCAATATATTCAAAGTTTCATTCCATATAGTCAAAGTTTCATTCCATATATTCAAAGTTTCATTCAATATATTCAGACTTCGTTCAATATATTCAGACTTCGTTCAATATATTCAGACTTCGTTCAATATATTCAAAGTTTCATTCCATATATTCAAAGTTTTATTAAATATATTCAAAGTTTAATTCAATATATTCAAAGTTTAATTCAATATATTCAAAGTTTCATTCCATATAGTCAAAGTTTCATTCAATATATTCAAAGTTTCATTCAATATATTCAGACTTCGTTCAATATATTCAGACTTCGTTCAATATATTCAAAGTTTCATTCCATATATTCAAAGTTTCATTCCATATATTCAAAGTTTCATTCAATATATTAATTTCCTAAATGGCTTGCCATATATATATAAATATATATATTAACATGGACAAAGATTTAAAGAAACCCCTAAATAAATAAAATGAAACCTGTACAATCAGACATATACCAAGAACAATTACATAATCAAGCAGGAATAAGAATAGATGAAAATGTACATAACCCGTGCATGAATAGGCATATATATCTATGTACAATTTAACCCTATACCTATGAGCAGTTTAAAAACACTGGTAAAAATAGACAGAGTACAGGCTCATGGAGGTTTTGTTACAGTCAGATACTTTATGGGATGCTGTGTTCAAAGAGGCATTTTCCAGAGGCCAGTGTAGTTCTTTAACTGACTGTCTTAGGAGGTCATTTCTTTGATCAGTTTGAGAGCTGTAAAACTGTAAAACTGCAAAACTGCGTTACATTATTCCATCATTGACTTGCTTTGTTTAACCTATCCATCCATCCATCCATCCACCCAGCCATCCATCCATCCAGCCACCCACCCAGCCAGCCAGCCATCCATCTAGCCATCCATCCATCCAGCCAGCCAGCCAGCCAGCCAGCCAGCCAGTCAGCCATCCATCCAGTCAGCCATCCATCCATCCATCCATCCATCCATCCATCATCCATCCATCCACCCAGCCAGCCATCCATCCAGCCATCCATCCATCCACCCATCTATCCACCCAGCCATCCACTCATTCATCCATCCACCCAGCCATCCACCCATTCATCCATCCACCCATCCATCCACCCAGCAATCCATCCAGACATTCATCAATCCACCCATCCATCCATCCATCCATCCATCCATCCATCCATCCACCCATCCATCCATCCACCCATTCATCCATCCACCCAGCCAGCCAACCATCCACCCAGCCAGCCATCCATCCAGCCATCCATCCATCCATCCATCCACCCAGCAATCCATCCACCCACCCATCCATTCACCCAGCCATCCACTCTTCATCCATCCATCCATCCATCCACCCATCCATCCAGCCATCCATCCATCCAGCCATCCACCCCTTCATCCATCCACCCAGCCATCCATCCAGCCACCCAGCCATCCATCCAGCCATCCATCCATCCATTCATCCATCCATCCAGTTGCAGTATGTTGTAAAACAGTGTTATACTGATTTAATAATCATATTTCATACTTCCCATTTGACAATCTTGCAAATAACTCCATCAACTTTCCAATTAACTACCCGGCCAGCACCAACCATTTGCTCATATCAGGGAAAAGTGTTATCTTGACTTAGAGTAAAAAGAAGCTGGTTTTAAAATTCAGGATTGGGGGAACGCAGATTCCCATCCAAAATAGGTCCCTGATAATGATTGCACCTGCTTATGCAACAGCCCACATGAGTCAGATCCTCATCTATTGAACCAGAGGAGAGTGCACAGCTTTTCTAAACAGGAGCTCTAAGCATTTTAGATGTGTTACACTCCGGTTTCCCATCTCTATACTGTGGGAGTTTAATCTCATTCCAACTGACATATCCCCAGGCATGGTTTTTCAGAAAAAAAAAGAAAAAAAAATCGGAAACAAAAAAATTAGGACAGATTGAAGATTTTTTTTTTCCCTGTCTCGTTCAAGAGCACAAGGGTATTTGGGTATCTCTCTCTCCCTCTCAGTGTGTCACTCTCTCTCAGTCCATTTTTACAGAGATTATTTTATCTTATTTGCCGGGGTTCTGGCCGTGCTGGCCACAGGGCTGAGGGGGCTTTTATGGACTAATCCCCCACAAAGCCAGTAATAACCTGTCAGTTCATCCCCAGCCAACCCTCTTACCACCCTCCCCTCCTACCACCCCCCACCCAAGTCCCACTCACCATCCATGAAGATACCAGAATGTGGAAGAAGGGCAGGGGGCCAAACAGAGAGCCATGTGGGGGTAATGCCAGGCTTCAGGCATCCAAAACTAAAGTGTGAAACTTTTTTTTTTCTTCTTTTTTATTATTATCAGGAAATAGACATATATTTTTTTGCAATGAACTGTGACGGCAAAGAGCAGGTCTTCAAACGAGGATTCTGTCTGATGTTCGTTTGTCCACAGTCTGGTGGGATGATAAGAACTCACAGGAGAGAGAAAAGGCCAGGGTGGAGCACACTCTAAAAAATATTTCAAGGGCTTAGTAAATGTAACAGTAATGTAAAGGTATTATTGCTTGAAAAATTTGACTGAACATCATTATGATGAGTATTTGGGTTAACTATATCAAAATTCCTGAGTAAAAATGAAACAGAAATCTTTGTGTGAAATGTAAATATATAAAGTAAGTTCATTTCATTAAAAAAAAGTATGACGTGACTGACAGATTACATTGTTTAAATATTTTATAATAATTACTGTATGTTTCATCAATATTTTTGAGAATAAACTATGAATCAGTTTAAAGAACTACAATTATTACACTATTTAACTTAATATTATTTGTAATTTGACTAATCTACTTTTTTTTAAAAAGTACTCCGGCAGAAGTGACGACATCATTCGGTCCAGTTCAAACCGCAATGGCTGAGACTAGACTGTAGCGGCACAGCGAAGTTCATTCTGACCGGACTCTACCGACAGGACCTGGACAAAACATCTAAGTGAGTAACTTTCAACACAATAATAGTTTTACATACACCTCAGTTGCAGAAGCAACACATGAACATGAAATATCAACCGACCAGCATTACTATCATGTCAACGATATTCATTACACCTAATTTGACTTGTTAGCAAACTTCAGCTAGTTGACATGTGCTATTCATTGTCTTCTGTACAACTAAACTTCCATAGCCTTATTAGACCTACACTAATGTATATTCGGTTACACAACAACAACGACCGTGTAAAAGTTAAACCGTTTAAATTTTTATTTTATTTTGGACCACAGAGCTATATGCGGCGGAGGCGGGGGGAGGGGTGCGCGCATAGCTCATACAGACACATACACACAGCTTTCTGTTTAGCTTATTTTAGCTCTTTGTTAGCTGTTGAGCTAGTATGCTTAGCTTGTGAGTCACACACGCATTCATTCATTTCTGCTCTAAGAGAGGATTAAAATATGTTCATCTAAATGTAGGTTGAACGGGTGTATTGATAAAGTTTGGCTTTTTACTTGCGAGAGTGTATTGCACTTCCAGTAATTACGAACTAGTTCAGGTCTGGTTATCTACAGGTTATTTCACTGCACCACCGTGACCTCCTGTGTGTGCGCGCGGGAATGTGTGTCTCTGCAGGGCTGATAAACACAGAGCAGACTATATTTTTTAACATCTCTAAATATTTTGTAATTTTTATGATAAATGAATAAACACATGTCTCCAAAACACATTGAAATCATATTACATTTTTTTTCTCGATTTTTCATAACCATTTAAGGTTTACTGAACGTTCCACAGATGTACACAAGCCTAATTACAATATGTGTTTGTGTGACTTGTTAAAAAGGAATGCACTTACAGTTAAGAATAAAACAGAGTTCATGATCTGTTACAGGGTTAAATAATTGATTGTGGATAAAAACATTGCGTAGTCACAAGAAGTTATATAGAGAGTGATTAAAAAGTATAAATAAGTTAAAATGCTTAAATATCAGTTTTATGTTAAAAGAAAAGGTTAAAGATGCTGAAATATTTAATAGACATGATTTAGTTCATTCTTTATTGTTAAAAGTAAGATTTATTGATGTGTATCTGTGATTTACTGACTTGTCTGAGTTAGATTATCTGGGAGCGATTGCTTTTGTCTCCGCCCACATACCAGGAGAAATCGCGGTGTTTTCCTCATTACACTAAACTCTCTTGATGAGTAAACACAACTGAATCACTCTTGTGATTATTTCTCTCCGTATTCAGGTATGTTTATGGTCATAAACACAGCTAACATGTCCGAAATAACTTACTAACAAGTAAAGAGTTTCATGACTAAGTAATTTCGATGTTTGAGTAAGTTTAAAGTTAAGTTTCAGAACATTAAGCTTGCTAGCATACGAGCCCGTGCTCAGAGCCACAGCACAACCCGTAGCTGCGCCGCAGCCTGTTCTGTGTGTTGTCTTCTGTTTCACAGGAGTGAGGATGTGTTTAAGTTGTTTCATTGTCTTATGTAGTTGGACTCATGCACTTTTATTAGCTCAATACGAGTTTGAGACATATATTTGATGCTTAAAAGAAATGTGAGGAAAAGATTTATTGCAGGAAAATACTGTTTATTGTTTGTAAAAGGTAAAGGTGTATATCCTACCTCAACCTCTATCCATTCTGAAATGTGAAAGATGTTGTAAATGTGTACTTTTGTACATTGTTATATTTCTGTAAACATGTAATTCATTACACTAAACGCTCTTGATGAGGAAACACAACTGAATCACTCTCGTGATGATTTCTCTCCTTATTCAGGGGTGTAACATTTGTACCTTTTAAGTTGACAAAAAAAAGTGTTTACTCTAATATTTAAGCCTCTTGGGTGCTTTCCAGGCTATCTATTTTTTTTATTTTGTCTCTTTTTCTATTTTATTTTTTATTTTTATTAAATATGCTTTAATGACAAGAATGTGAGGTGAAAAACTTCTCTTAATCGTCCAGAAGAGTAAAACAATATTATTAAAAATGTCTAGAAAATGGCTGAGAACAGTCAACATATTGTCTGTGTGTTTGTCTCTCTCTCTTTGTCCTGAATGTCAGGTCAGGCTCTGTCTTGAATTCCTGGTCGTGCTGATCTATAATCTCACTCCTAGTAGTAAAGCATGAATTGCTCAGGCAGAAGCGAGGGCAAATGGGCCTCCAGGAACAGTATTCATTAATTGGAATATAAAAGCATGCAATTCATGACTTGTGTGTTAGGTTGTTATAAAATGTTCATATCCTAAGTTCAAGAGTTATGTCATGCATGTTTGATATGTCTGAAATAAATTTAATCAATCAATCAATCAATGCATGCTAAATATAAAAAAAAAATTGCATTTCAGATAAGAAAACAACTGATCAAGAAAACACAGGAGGTAAGTTGCTCTTTGTAAATAATAATAATAAGACATGAGGGATGTTAAAAGCTATTAGTAGGACATTATTTCCAAATGTGTTGTAGGGATATTAACTAGTCTATCAACTTTCTATGACAACAGAGGTTTTAATCTTTTTTTAATTTTATTTTTATTTTAATTTTTTTTTACATTTTATGCTCAATGTGACACAGAGACGGTGAGAGACGAGACAGGAAGGCATGTGAGAGAGAGAGAGAGAGGGGCGGACAGAAAAGGACAGCAGGCCATACTCAAACCCAGGTCGGCGTTGGAAGGAAAGAGCTTCACAGGACACTAGCCACTGGGGCTCCTCGGTTTTTATCGTTCTGTAAGGTAACTGCTCATGGGATGGCAGTGTAAACTTTGTACATCTGTGGCATCATCAACGGGGGGACTTCTCAAACACTATCAACTAAAACACGGACTTTTAGGTCGTGGACATTTTCTGCCCTGCATTCATTTGGACTGTCAATGTTCTTTTAAAACTTGGGGTGGTTTACGTACACACTTGTATAGAGCTCACAAATCAGAGGAAACTGAAAAACAGAAAGATGTGAAAGCTTTCAAATGTAAAATTTGTGACTCATGTTTTTCAAATACCAAGGATTATTTTTAACACATTAAATTTGAAAAGTTTAGAAACAATAGAGTGTTTGTTTGATGGTTGTGATTTCAAAAATAACATATATGGGACTTATGCTACACACAAAAGCCGAAAGCACCAATCCTACTCATGTAATGACTTAAAAGCTGATGTTATTGTAAAACTTCCTGTTTCTACCAGTGTTGTATTTTTGAAACCGGGCTTTATTTTTCAGTGTCTTTTAATTTGAACACACATTTACAACACATAACGGACAAGTTCCTTATCCGTAGCCCATTACTTAAATAGTACATGTAATTCAAAGTAGTTATGTGTAAAAAAAAATCATACGTATGTATTCACACTGCCTGCAGATGGTGTCCTTGTGTGTAAATGTAGAATGCTAACTGAGGTATTCTTGAGTGTAAATGATTGATAAGGACAGTTATTTTTTGTTTTTGCCACTTAAAAGTTCAGATGGTTGTAAGTCTGACAACATTGTGGATAGCATTCCTAGAGAGAGACATGTCTTTTGTTAAAAAGTAAACTGTTAAAATTTCTTGGTGATACCACTTGGCTGACTACTGTATTGTGTGTTTCACACAACAAGTCGCAAGACAGTTAGAAATAATTGTCAATATTAAATGACAGTTAGTGATGGTTAAAGATAAAAAGCACAATTGAACTCCCATTGGCCGTAGTGAGTGGTGGAGTTTGCTCCAGTTCTTTTAGAAATGTGGCCAAATTCTGAGATATTTGCAAAATGTTCTTGTTTAAATGCATTGTTTTGTTATTACTTGCACTATACTGTGTCAGTAATGTTTCTGCTATTGTTTCACATGTGCATGCAGGTCTGAAATAAGCAGTTTTCATTTAAATACCTCAAATCTGATGCAGGAAAGTATTTTATGTGGAAAAAATGACTTACTGTTGGGGAAAATGTATTAAAATAAAACATTCATGTTTATTGAGATCTTGGTCATGCTTATTATTTTTTAGGTTTAAGTTTGACATCTTTAAGTAATATGCTCTTATAGAATGTAGTATTTTAAGTAAAAAAAAACAAGTACGCACAACACATTTTTTTAAATGAATACAATTTATTTTTTCAAGTAAACAGGGAAGCATTTAGTTATATCCTAATGGTTTCACTTATATCTACTCATATTCTACAGTGCTTTCTGCTCATATTTTCTATACGGTTTATAGAGTATTTCAATTAAATTTACAAAAAATGTTTTTGTAATTTTACTAAATCAATTCATGCGTACACGATTGAAAATGTAGCTAAAAGTGCAAAAAGCAGCTTTCAATGCTGCTAAATCTAATTTTCCATTTTATCAGATTTAGCCAATGTCCTGACTTACCTCAGCAACAAACATCTACTCCTCGCTCATGAATATGAAACATTCAGCATTGGTTGGGTTTCAGTGATAACAGTGATTCACTATTCTTTTGTAGATATCGCCCTTTTCAAGTTAAAATTCAGTATTTGATTGAGGTAACAATTCCAGCTGACAAAATGGCTTTGAAATGCAATATTTTAACCACCAACAAAGACATCTATAATGATGTGACTGTCTTTGATCCTTCTCAAATGACATATTAGATACTAATCCGGGTTTGCTTTATGAAAAATGCCATTCAAGTGTCCACCCTCCCTAATGATATTGTCTTAGCTGACTGAAAATTAAAACATGTGCTGTGAAATGTCAAATGTACAGCACTGTTAGTTCAATGGATTAAGAAATGGATTAGTATTTGCTACAGATTTCCTGTGTATTTTTAGAATAGGCTTAACTGTCAGGATTATGTTTTCATTTGAACCTTATTCTGTCAGAAAAACAAAAGAAATCAATAAAGCTTGTTTTCCCAGCCAAGGCTGTTGTACAGTTCTGCCTCGACGGCAGCCCACTGTGCGTGCATGCTTTCATCTCATCCCCTTCCTTGTCTTCCTGCCATACCTTCCCTGTTGGTTTATTTTTAACCTCCCTTTTCCTTGGTCTCATTTGGGCCAGATGGAGTCTGCCCTGAAGCATGTGTTTGGGGCGAAGCTACACTCCTGGTTAGCCTCTCTCACCAGTGGAATGAGGGCTGTCAGAAGGCATCAGGGTGACTCATCTCAGGAGGATGTGCTAACACATCATTGCCCTAGACTTTCTTGCCAGGGTTGATCGTCCATAAACAATGCAGTTCCTGTTGCAAGCTCACACTTGGCCAATTCTACATCTAGCCTTGGATGTGGGGCGGTGTTAGAGTGTAATTCATGATAAAAGATGTTTATCTGTATTTGCCTCCCCAGAGCTTGATAAAGACATTTTTTTTATGTAGTGCAGCTATAGCCTACTACATGACTTTTCAATCTATAACTTGTATAAGCATAGTTCTGACTAACTAATGTCAGGAGGGATAGCTTCCTTATAGCCCCACATACAAACTAAAGGCTAAGCTAGGCTAAATGCACCCGTGGTGTTTCTAGACAAGTATTCTGGGTACCTTGGCCTAAATATACAACTCTGATGAGATTGCATGATTGCAAATTGTGCAGTCTTTGTGTCCCTGGCAAGTCCCACTTTGGGGCTGGTACATGGAAACCAGAGCAAAACCATGGTGAGAGCCTTGGCATACTGCAGTGCTTCCTGGTCAGATCATCCACATTGCACAAGCCATGGATGTAGATGCAAAAAGAAAACAGGCTTCAGTTACATTTCGTTGGCACTTTTCTGAACCTACACCTACAGAGCCTCTGAGGCTACTGCTGGGGGAACACAAAAACCTCCCTGCTACACATCAGTCAGTTTTTCATGATTAAGATATTAATCCATTGAGCCACATCTAGAAAGTATTGTCATGAACCCTAAAAACAAAACACTCATACGGTATCTTACTGTTAAACAACGCTCTTATAAAGAGAAAGATGTTGAGAAGTAGAGATGGATTAAAAAAGAAAATGAGGAACTGTGGGGATGATTAAATGATGCCTCTAAAGAGGAAGAGTTTTAAAATGGCAAGAAGAAGGAAATTATGATGTATGACAAAACCAAGCAAATACATTCTCTCAAAGGACCACTGCCTGCACATGTACATATATATATATATATATATATATATTTCTCAGCAGAATCAATTAAAGTACCTGTTGTTCAAACACATAAAACAAGATATACTTAATCCTCTCTCTTCTGCATGTTTCTTATGGGAATCATGAAATATGCTGAGACAGTGTTCATCCTGGACCCATTAAAAGAAATAGGTAAATAGACATTGTTTAAGTTCAGAGGTGCTCGTACAGTACACAGCACACCCTTGGGTTATGGTAATATAACCAGTGTTATTGTGATATTTGTGTTTGTAATTCTTGTTATACCACCTCCGTTAATTAGTTATTCACTGATATTAGACAAGTTGTTTTCACAGGTGGTAAAAATGATTAGTGAAACAATATCTCTCAGCCACAATATTGGACAAAAAAACAACAATAATGTTGAATTTTAAATTGTTATGGGACATCTCCTCTGTTTGCACTATCATTTAGATAACTTTTATTATCTGTACAGAACGAAAAATCACATTTTGTCCCACATGAAACAACTATTGCTTTGAGAGGAAATATATTTATTTTTGAGGAAACACACACACACCACACACACTATGCCTTGGAGACATGTTCTTGTAATGGGGTGATTATTCCAAAATAATCAGCAGTGAGGCTTGCATATAAAACCCTTTGCCTCGAGCTAAAAATGAAATATGTATACCTCAACTTCTTCTTTTCTCCAGAATGTACATGTACACCAAGTCAGGAGTGTAACACAGGACTGCCAGAGGGAATAACTGAAGGGTGGGTTTTACAATTATCTAGTGATTTGTCCCCCCTGTGTGTAACAAACAATATTGCGCCTTAATAAATTTACAGAGATGAATTCACACACATTCAAATCATTGCTGATGTCCACTGGGGTTCACATGCATGCACACTAGCAGAGACTTTATGTCCCTGAACAAGCATGAGGACGACAGCATGTGTCCTCAGGGCAGGATGATTCAGTTTAGATGCACTTAAGGCAAGATACGGCTCTACTTCATTCCCAACTGCATCGGTAACTTCCTCCTCAGAGGGCAGTCACTGTGTATTTTGTGCCCGTACTCCTTATAAGTCAGAGGTACTACTTTATCTTATACACGAAAGACATAGTCACAAATGTATAAACTGTATAGATCAAAATACGACAGAAACAAGTTCACAGTATTTGCTTTATTTTATGCCCAACAGGCAGTTTTGAAGATAGATGTGCGTCTAAAACCTACATTACATTTTTTTCTGAGTTTTGTTTCTTACAGCTCTACCAAACTGACTGCATTTAAAGGTCACTTAATGGGAACCTGCTGTCCACTTTCAAACAATAAATGCTGAGCTGGAGGGAAATTTTAAGGACTGTGGGCTGTTTCTGATGTTACAAAACAAGGGAATGTGTTATTTTAATGATACCCATAGTCCTTTCCACCTCTAAAAAGCTGACCTACATCGGTACAGGAAGGTCGGGGGGCTTATTTTGTCAAAGCACTTCAGTCGCGTATGTTCCCATTACGATGAAGTATACAAAATGGCTTGAACAGAATACAAAGATTTGCTTTGTTTTGTTTTGCAAAAAGCAGTCGGGTGCATGCATTTTTAATGGATAGTATTCCAGGCAGCAAGCAATAAAGCATACTTGTTATCGCTTCTGTTTTCAAAGCATTGATCTTGTCCATCTCTAAAGGGTAAGCCTCTCCTCTGCTGTATGCTACCACTCTAAAGGTAGATAAATAGACTGATAGATAAATAGATTAAAACATTAAAAAATAATTCAAACTACAGGGTGCTTCACTCGATCGGATGCCCGGTCTAATCTGTATATTGCGTTCACTTTCCACAGAGTAGAATATGAGCTATGTCACAAAGCATTTTTTTTTTCAACCCACAGCAATGTGAGCACTTGACATGTGTCTTCACTCACCAAGCGACTGATTTATAAAGCAGCCTAACCAGCCTGAAGGAACAATATCCTGTGCCACTCTTCACTCTTGCCTCTCTCATTAAAGCCATGATTGGCTCGGACATCCCTGGAGATATCCGTATTAGGGACCAAAAATACCAACGGTCCCCCGTCTCGGAGATGACAGCCAGTTGTCTGACTTTATAATCTAGCCCGCGATTTAAACCAATCTAATGAATCAAATCACCGGCATTCACCGTTCTCAAAGTCCATCCCTCATGGCATACAATGTCTGCTGTGCCCTCGAGCTGAGGGAAATGAAGAGGCGGGCTTGGAGAAGGGGACGGCAAGACGGACAGAGAGAAAGACAGGAAGTAATTGTTCTTCCTCGGGGAGTAAGGGAAAGACAAAGAGAATATCTTCCTCGTGCTTCATGTACAGCCAAATTCTGATGCAAATCTGTCTAGAGACCCTCGTCCACATTCAAAATCTGAAACATGGCATGTAAAAAAAATTAAACTCGGTTTTCTGGATCTCATTGAATCTGTGTTTTGACAAGCAGGGCCAGTTTAACGCAGAAGTGTGTCCAAGCATGCAGGGTAATTGGAAAGTCTGTATTCCATAAAGGACCTATTAGTCCTAGTGAAGCTGATTGGCTGCCGTGTGCAGTGCCTCTCCTGTCTCTCTCGCTGACCCATATCCAGAGGTCAGATATTGACTCCATTTACCTCCATTATCCCTCTCATTAACCTCATGATAGCCCGCTGGGAGTTTTTGAGAATGTGGATCGGTGGCAGGGCAGTAGTCACGAGCCACAAAGGAAACCGCTGTCACTGGATGGACAGTGGTACAGGGGGGCCGGGGGAACCAGCCAGCCGGCCTGCTATTGATCTATGTGGATTAGGAGGCCCTTGTCTGTGGGGGCATCTCCCTCAGCTGACAG